TGAGGTAATCATAGGTCTCCTTGGTGCAGAGGTTTCCAGTGCAGAGGATGTGTTGGATCTTTCCTGGAACCAGCAGTTTTTTGAACTTAGCTGGGAGGCTGTTGCACCGATGTGGAATGTGAAGGTCTCCTAACACTAGCACCAGCTTATGAGGGATCACACAGGAGAGAGAGAGAAAGAGAATTACAGATTCTAACTAAGATGAGCAACAAAGTACACATTTTCTTCAGTTTCAAGATTCTGTATTATGGAAGTTGGAAATAAAAGTAAGGGATCTTGAACTTGGATGATGCCACCAGAGGCCTTATCTACAGAAAGAGGGTTTTGCTGGTACAACAACAAAGCTCACTTCTGTGGATCCAATTAGATATAGCAAAATAAAAATAATTCTATTAGCATAATTTATGCTCATTAGGAGACCTACATGAGTTCCCAGTGTAACTACTTACACTGGTTAAAGCAGCAAACTTCTAGCCAACCTAGAAATGTTAACAACCCAAAAATAGAAAAGAACTAAGTTACAGCTATTTTCCATCAGAACAATGTTTGTTCCACATTTCCCTTTTACTGTAATAATCCTTTATTCTTGTGTTCTAATAAAAACCCAAACAAATAAATCTGTAATATATGCACACACGCATATGTACAGAAATATATTTCTGTACATGTGTATATACATATAGGCTTTTAAACAGAGTTAGGAGTTTGTCAAGAGCCAACAGGCAAATTTCAATATCAAGTGGACAGCATCAATGGGGCTTACTTTAAAAAAATTAGTTTTTAAGAGTTTTACAAGCTGAAGATTAACTAGGTTGAGATGTATGAATATGTACAAATATTAAAAAAGACACAGGATTCAGCATGACTTATTTAAAAAAAAACCTAATATATTTGAGGCTATCCTTTCTAGAATATCACAAAAGCAAAGGAAATTTAATCAGATAAGAATGACACCTTTGAATCTAAATCTTAATTACAAAAAGGTAGCCTGCAGTAACACCAGACTTGTTAAATACAACTTATTTGAGAAATTTAATTAATGCAAGCAAAGCAACAGGAAGATAAGCTTCATTTAATTATACAGACTGTGTGAGAGAAGCATTGTAAAAGCACAAGACCTTCTGTAGCGACTCAGTCACTTGAACACTACATATAGAGAAGCTGCTTCTATCATCCTGGTAAGTCTATAAACTAATATACGTAGCTTGGTTTCCTCCACGTATAGTGTTCTTATCAGTACAGCAGCACCAAGATGTAACAGCTACTGAACACAAACACACTCTTCAGAGGAAGATCACAATGCCTGCAGCTACACTACAAGATTAATCCTTTCCACGCTCAAAGGTTGTATCTTTATTCCGGTAACCAGGCCAGTGCCCTCATGCAGACAGGGAACTTCATTAGGAAAACCTACTCAGGGCAACACCTAAATTGTAGCAGGGGAGCAATTTGGTGAAGCAACAGAGTCTTTAACTTCTGAGCCTCCTGGGCAAGACTGGTCATTTCTCCAGGCATTCCTAGCGGGCAGACACCAGCCCTATGAGTCTGGTTGCACGGGAGAAGAGAAATAAAGATATTTTGCTCCTTTTAAGATGAATTTCATTTCTCCTTTTAAGAAGAATTTCTCAACACGCTCCCTTGTCAGGCACCTCAGACAGGACACCGTTAACCAAGGTGCGAGCAATGCTGTACTTGCTACCTCACCTGCTCTCAACCTTCCTACGCCAGCAGCACGCCCACCTCCAGAAATGCTGCGGCCGAGCTCTCGCTTGTTTCTCGAGGGCAGAAAAGCCACAGAACAAATCTGGATTTCGGGGCGATGGGTGCTCACGGCAATCGCTGAGGTCACCTCAGCGGGCCTGCAAACACCACCGGGCCCTTCACGAGAGGAGGGTCTCGAGGCAGCGGGGCTGAGACTCGCTGCTCGACCCCGGCATCATCACCCCGCTGCTCAAATGACCCCCCCAGAGCAACCCGGCCCACGGGGCGGCGCACACCCGCACCGCTGCCAGGGGAGGGGAGGGGAGGGGAGGGCCGGGCCCGGAGTCGCAGCTCAGCTGCAGCCGGAGCCAGGCCCCGGGCAGGGATGGGGGCGGACTTACTCTGTGCCCCGCCTGGGCGGGGCGGAGGAGTTGATTGCAGACGAGGCGCGGGCGGGGTTAGACCGAGGGAGCGGCAGGAAAAGAAAGAGGCGAATGAACGGGGGGAAGTGCCCGGCCCCAAACCCCTCCGCCCCCAGCCCACGCCGCTCACCATCCTGCAGCGCCGCTCGTCCGTCCGGGGCCCGGAAGTGCTGCCGACGGCGGCCGCGCGAAGCCAAACCCCGTCGCTGCGCGTTTCCCTGCGCGCGCAACATCCGGGTGCCCTGAGGAGCTGCGCAGGCCCAACCCCCGCGTGTTTCCCGCCCTTTTCTGAGGCGCCATGAAGTGCGTAGTGGGGGGGTTTCACTTGAGAGGTAGGCCTTGAAGGGCCAGGCAGGCACAGTGCGTGGCTGGGCTCCCTGAGAAGAGCCAGCTCCATCACTGGCCTCTGAAATGTGGGCCTAGTCTGTGGTCCTTTGCACCCACCACATGACCTGGAGATCTGTGACTTGTTTCAGAGAGGAGCTGGGGGCTTCTGTGCCCTGAAAATGGCCCTCTGCCCCCATGGGCCATAGCTCTGCTTTAGTCGTGGGTGCTATGGGGCCTGGGCTGCCTCAGCTTGAGCTTCCTGCCTCTGCTGTGCTGTAAAATGGGGACCAATGGCTTGCACCTCCATCCTCCTGTAACACCTATTTAAATCGGCGGGTTGCGGGCTGCTGTCCAACTCGGGCAGCGTTTTGACAGCAGTCTCGTTTGCAGCCAGCAGCAGGGTCCCCACTTCCCATCGGGCCCCTGCCTTGACACCTGAGGCCTGCATGCAGATACCTATCAATCGACGCATCATCAATACCTATCGATGGGTTGCAAGTTTTGAAAACACTTGTGTTTCTTGCTCATCTGAGCAACGCATGATGCGCTTCACATAAAACTAAATTGCACCTCGATGCTCTGGATTGCATCAGGAGATTTCTTTAAAATGCATGCAAGGAAAAGACAAACGTTTCCATCTCGTTAGGTAATCTGGAGGCCATGTCGTATCGCTCCCCTATCATTTAACCAATACCAAATGTAAATAGCACCCTTTTTTCTGTCTTCTCTGACAGTGTTTGGAAGAGCGATACATGCCATAGCCCGTATTAGTGATGAATTTTGGCTTGACCCGATTGAAAAAGGGGTAAGTCTGTTGATTTTAATTGAGTAGCCTTGAGCAGGGAACAGACATTTATGTATTCATTGACAGTTTGTTGGAGTTTTTCCAAAATCTGCAGCATACTTCATTTTCTGTTCCTTTCCAACTTTTGAAATGATCATCCTCCATTTTTTGGCATCTTAACTATGCCAGTTCATATCAGAGAAGTCTCACTCCTGTTCTTGCTCTATTTTTCCTACTTTCTCTTAATTTTGATTTAAACTGGAGATGGTTCAAGGTATCAGCATTACTGTACAGCCATAGATTTTTAACAGTTACATCTGGTTAGGGCATCAGTTTGATATCTCATCTGAAATTGCCTCTTAAAAATTTATGTTGGCATCAACTCAGTTCTAACTCCAAGGAAAAAAGGTCACCCCCTGAATTGGAGGTCGTAGTTTATGATGGTATGGAGCAAGGCTTCTGATCACCAATTAAGAGACTGTGTTTTTATATTGACTAGTAGATTAACTTTAACATAAAGTGTTAAAGAACCCCATGCACAACCATTTTGCTGCATGTTGGATAAAAGGGCTTGACCTATCTGGTTGTACTTCTGTAGCCACCAGTCCAAAAAGCCCTTTCAAATTTTGGCTGCTTCTACATGCTTATTAAATGTGATTTTGCTAATGCATGTTAACTTCAGTACCTCCATTGTGAGATGATAGAAAAAGGCTCATTAGCCTATTTTAATGCATATTAGTGAAAGTGCATGTTTTTTGTGACACTTCAATGTGCATTAAAATAGACTAATGTACATCAAAGCGCATGTGCTTGCATGGTTAAAGGGCATATCTACAGTCCTCAGGATATTAATTGTGGACTAGTCACATAATTCAGGGCTTTGATAGATCCGATCCATAATATCTAGATAACATCAGCCACTTCTCTCTAGTAATAACATTGCAAAAACTGATTAGTTTGAAATATAATGTTTCTGTATGTGAATGCATCCATCTGTATTTATTATTGTATAAAGTGGTTTGCAGTTACATATGACTGAAGTAAAGAGTGAAGTTTTAAATAGCCCTGTTATATTTGGGACTTTACTTGCAGCTTGGTCTGTTGCAGTTTCATATTAATAAAATATTACATCTTCATTTATATTTTCAGCTTGCTCTACGATCAGTGAATTCTTCTAGGTCAGCATATGCATGTGTCTTCTTTTCATCTATGTTTTTTCAACATTACTGCTCCGTGACTGTGTCTGAGGTACATCAGGGAGAGAGACAATTACACTTTCCTTGTAAATTAGTAATGAAGGTAAATGTTAGTGGATTAGTAAATATGCTTTTTAAGCAGAAGATCAGTTAAAGTTTCAAATCAATAGGATGACACATTACTGCATTTGGGTGGAATTCCTTCCTTGCAGAAGTCCTTTGAAGCTGTAAACTTTGGTCCTCAAAGATAACTATGTTAAAAAGAAAATTAGCATTCAGTTATTACATATGTGCTTCCCTGGGTGTATCATGTTTTTAAATCAGCTTCATCACAATGGAGAGGCAGGCAGTAGCCCCAAAAGCAGGCTTGCTGCGAGCCAGGAGCACTCCAAGTAATTGCTCAGTAATCTATCTTGGTCATTTCCTGTTGCACTGTAGTGGAGGAAGGAGAAAAATCACTGGTTTCTTCAGTGTCCACTTGGCCTTTGGCTTGTGGAAACAAGAAGAGCAGGGTAGGAGCTTGCTAGAATCTGTTAAAGATTAGGAATACTCAGCAAAGGATGGCTTTTTCTACCACACAGCCATGTAAGGTAGTCCAAGAGAACAACTAGGAACCAATTAGATAAGGCTCCTGATTCTCTA